AAAGCTATTACAACACGCCACCGGATTCACAATATTCATGCAAGCGGATAGAAGATGTATACGAGCTTCCAAGTAGATCACCACACTAAGATGATCATTGATAAACATTCAAAAATGCTCCTGCACATGCACTATAATATGTATGCACATAGGTACATAAGGGGTAAATGCAATCATAAAATCCACATGGGCCTCGGTGAGCGTGTTATAAGTACACACGTGACATCTAGAGAAGCTGCACGGGTCAATAAATAATCCCAATTTTGAACCCAATCCTCCTAAGCAGGTAGATAGGAGTCGACAAAGTTAGATAAATAATTACAAAATGCCCCCAAACACCCGCATGGCTCGACGAGCGTGTTATTGGTACACGTGACGTCTAGGAATGCTGCGCTGGTTAATAAGTGAATTCAAGTTCAAACCCGATTCTTTTATGCAGATCAATAGGAGTCGACAGGGTTTGAACCATCAAACAAATGTACGGTTGTGGCGATCGATATATTTTTCTCAATACATTCATATTAGGCCTTCAAAGCCTATAACAATGAGATTATGAGAATTCACTAAAAGACTACGAAACTCGATCCCTTATCGGCAATTTGATAGGGTCGGCAAGGTTCAAGCTTTAGATGAAAATAACCCCAAATACTTCGATGATGGACGTGTTGAATACAAACCTCAACCGGAGGGGTTAACTCCAAAATTTAAAATGTCAACCAAATATCCGAAAAGTCAAAGAAATCTCAAAGATCATTCAAGTCTAAAATATTTAAAATTGAAGTAACCCATCAAATACGTAAAGCAAAATTCATCCACCCTCCACAACAGTTTGCCGAAGTGGATAAATTTAAATAATACTTCAGCTCACATAGAGCTAATGCCTAGTCGAAAATATCACTAGGATCCATTCTCAAACAATCTTCTGCCAATAAAGACGTGGTACGTGTCCTCTGACTGGCAGTTTTGCCGCTAAATGGCACCACAGGATAAACGATTATGACTCGGGCCCCTCTGAACTGACTGGTTTTGTTGGCAAATGGCATCACGAAATACCGGTTATGACCAGAGTCAATACACTCCTTAGTAGCATCAAATCATTGAGATATGAATCAATATGATATAATCGATAGGGCACAAAGCTCTCTGTTAGCTAAGGTGGATTCAAATTTATCCGTTTAGACAAACACTCTCCCCAGGTCTACAAGGTACCCTTGGACGAAGCAACCCATGGCTGCCGACGAGGATCCTTCTGTCAGGTTGGGTCGACTACCTCCTCTGACTAAGTAGACTAGGGACCACGATGGCCCTGGACGACGGAATCATGTGATCTTGATTGGGTCCATCATCCATTCCACCACCATCCGCTTAATTTAAGTGCTAGATGGTGAAATTTTCAATTTTAAATATCAAACTTCCCAAATATTTCAACCATAATTCCCAAATCCAAACTCATGCTGCTACTATACGTCTGATATTACGTATATATGGATACAACGTATCTGATTGACGACTAGCCTTAATCGAAAGTTCTCTCTCGTGACCGGGAGGCATAATTAACTATAAGGGCTTGCGCTTATAAGAAACCAGAACTCAGATCATAAAGTCCTCGCAAAATGAGAGCGAAATCTCTGGGTAGTGTCTTATCTACAAACCCATTTGTCTTCCAAAATTTACCCCGGAACTTAATCAGTTAAAACTCCCCCAAACAAAGAAAGCAATCAGCGGGCAGAGGCCGGGGCCGAATTTTCGGAGCCCACATATTCCCCAAATTTTATAATAACATAAACAATGAGAATAAAGAACTATAGTTATTCACTAAATTTCAATCAATGGATTTAATGAAGAGTATCAATTAACATTTGCATGCGACCGAGAACAAGAGAGGAGAAAATAAATAAACTAAGCCTTTTATTCATTTCCTTCTTGTGTCTTGAAGTTGAGTTGCTGGCTGGGGCTTAGGGGGGGTGTTCACTAGGTTCTTAGCTTGCTACATGTAGAAGAAAGCCACGTGTAGAAGAAGAAGCAAAGATGACTCACTAGGGCACAGGGGCAAGGATTGCCACAAGGGTTGGCACAATTGTCTTCAGCTTCGAAGAAGAGGTGGAGGCATGAGATGCATACTACTTTGAAGAAAAAGCAAAGTTGTGAACTATATTGTATACTAATAGGCAAGGTTTAAAATTGCGTAAATAAGCCTCGAGGCGGTTTTCGTCCGTAAGGCGAGGCGTAAGCCTCGAGGCGGTGTGAGGCGTAGCCTCACGGACGCATAATTGCGTAAATGAGAATTTAAGGGTTTTAACAGGTAAATAATAACAAAATTCTATCATATAATAAAAACATCCAAATGACAAGTGGAATTAGTGAAAATTAAGAAAATAGATGCAATAATATCATGTTCCAAAGTACAAAACCACAAAATTATAGTCTATCAGATTTCCCAAAGTATAATTCAGAAGGAACATATAAAATCCAATCATATCCCTTCGCTAAATGGATTTTCAAGAGAATCTTATTCTCTAATTGTATCTATAAATGTCATATCTTCATCATCTTCATTGTGACTCACTTTTCTCTTCTCTGTTCAATAAGAATGGTCATTATCATGTTAATTGCTCACTTAATATAAATATAATGCAATAACATATAAGAATTTGTGGAATATCTTTATTTGATTGTTGTGCTGTTGAGCTAGTGGATGTGTGTGGTGGTACTAGTGGATATGCCCACTTGATCTGCTTCGCCCCTTAAGACATCCACACTTAGATCCTCTAGCTGTAAGTCTGATAATGACAAATCTGTCTCATCATCTATGAACCACTCATTATCAGATGACACATTATCACACACCAACGGGTCCTCATCATCCTTCAACCTCTTATTCCTCAGCCTCATATCTCTTAACCTCTTGTTGTGCATAATATACACAAGAGAGTTCATTCTGAGTGTTGAAAGTCGATTTCTTCTCTTTGTTTGCACTTGACTATATGTACTCCAGTTTCGCTCACACCCAGAAGAAGAACAAGTGAGGGCCAAAAATCTAACAACAAAACTTTGTAACTCAGGGGTGGAATCACCAAATTGAATCCACCATTCAACTGTTTTTAAGAAGAAAAATGATAATCATAACATAATAAAGTGTTTTGCATTTATCAAAATAAGTATACCTGGAGACCGTTTGGCAATAGTTGATTTTGCTGCATGCAGACCAAAAAAACCCTCCTTATTCCGAAATAGAATAAGTTGTAAATCTGCAATCTCCCTATCTGTCTGCTTTGGTATTAGTCGTTCCATGCAATGATACAAGCCAAGCTTCACCTCTGGGTTTGAAGATTTTCTCTCTGAATATTGAAATTGAGGATTGAGACTATATGCCGCTGCATGTAAATGATAGTGTAACTGTACATCCCATCGAGCATCAATGATATCCCAAATCTCTTTATAACTTGCCTCCTCTCCTCCCAAGTTATGTGCAATCAACTCCTTTGCCTCATCCATAGCATTATAAATAAAACCCATGATTGGTTTCTTCTCGGCATCCATTAAACGTAGAACTTGCACTAAGGGTTTCGTGCTCAATATGGCATAGGTCACAGTAGCCCAAAATTTATCATTTAGAATTATCTTTCTTATTTCCTTCCCCTCAGTTTTCTTCCCCCACACAGAGTTAAGCCATTCTGTTGATATAAACATTGCTTCCAGAGGTTGTCTCACATCCAGCAGGTTCTGCAGTGTCAAATAAGATGTGGCAAACCTGTAGAATAAACTTGTATTAGGAATTGATAATAATTTGCAGTGCACAAATGTAATAACATACCTAGTGATTGCAGTGCACAAATGGTTGCAGGGCGAAAATTAATGGGCTCACCGGTGAGCGGCGGCACCGGCGGAAGAAGCGCCGGAGACGGGATCGGCGTGGAGCTCCTTGATGGATCGGGAGCAGCAGGTCACGGGCACGGGAAGGATTGCGCAAGCCTCAAGGCGTGTTTGGGCCAAATTGCACAGAGGCGCGCCTCTTATTGCGCAATTTTAAACAGAGCTGATAGGGCATCGGTGTAAGAAATACAGGGATTAATTTTGATGTGTATGAGTTTGAGTTCCTTTTTTCTCTATGTCCCGCTCATATCCCACCCTATCCGATAAGTGTAGTGTCCAATTTTAAACTAAATAAATTTGATACAATTTTTAAAGTATCAGACATGTGTTGGGACATGTCGGAGCTATATGTTTGCATCTAACAGTGTCTGACACAAGTCATTTGGAAGTATTTGTCCTTCATAGCTTTTTATCAATGGTATTACATAACTCTTTTGGCTTAATAGTGTATATTATGCAAATTTTGCATGTTTTATGCATAATTTTTTGTGCCACATTTTATATCCATATAAAAAATTCTTGACCATAAAATATCCTATATTATGAAGCATAAACTATTTTTTTCTAAGTTGTATGCCCATTTTTGGCACCCACCCTTAAATATTGTTGTCTAATTTTATATTATCGTCACATGATTTATCGTACATCTGGAGCCTTCAATGACAACGAATATAAGAGCAAGCTAACCTTCCTTTGTATCCACCCATCCTCCCCAACGACGCAAGCACGCATGTACATGCAAGTGTGCATGTGGATTGAACCCATTTGATAATCAATTGAGGGATATAACAATGCCATGTTGCTATTAGTTTTGTTACATGATTTGAATGTATGTATGCTTGGGCTTTTGATGTGTTCGTGATTATTTACAGAGTTGAAAGTGAATGAAAAACTGAGGTATTCATCTGGCTTGTGTAATTGATGTTATGCTAAATTATTTAAAGCAATTAAATAAGTTGCACTTTAGTTGTTGAAAAACATTATATTGATGATAGATATAATAATGGTTTTTTTACATAGTACATTATACATCTATTATCCATTCAAATATTAGCGAAGCCTTGTGTTTGAACTTTCTTAAAAACTGGCAATAACTGAGATTTTGGTATTCCTATTTTCTAATGCAGGGTGGATGTGGCTTCTGTGATATTGGAGCTGTTTATGTTTGCTTTCTTGGTTTTCTCAGCAGTTTCTTTATACTTTGGATATATGAAGCTTGCTTTTGTTTTCATTTGTATGACAGCATTTATTCTTGTATGCAAGAAAATCACAAAGCAAATAAGACAAAACAGGAAAAGTAAGCGGAGAATGCTTCTTCCATTGTCCATGTAGATGTTGGCAATTTGCCTTCCTAAGTGTTGGAATTTTGTGCTATGAAATATTTTTGGGTGATTTTTTTCTATTTTTGTGTGCTTGAGCATTGCAACCTGATTTTCGTTTGACAAAACTGACAACATCTTAGCATTCGAGTTTCCTATACGGCCTGATGATCTGATCATTGCTCATGCTTATTCTAAATCTGCTTTCTCCTTGTCTTAGGAAAGGAGTGCAGTAGTTTGTTGGCGCAGCTGTGCTTATGTTGAGAAGGTTTAATGTTTTGGCAATTGATTGTATATTTTCACTCACATCAAGGATGCTTTCAGAGCTTGCCTTATTTAGATGGTGAATTTATTTCATTCTAATCGTTTTAAGTGTGTTGAAGATTCCATTTGTTTTGATTTTTGTGATTTCTTTGTTTTTTGTTTTATTGTTCAAGATTTTATAGCAAATTGCTAATTACTTACAAGTTTTTCAACTTCGGTTGGTGCAGACCGGGAGAAACCATCTCCTTCTTAGTGTCACCCTCTTGTTTTACTTATTTTTAGTTCATTTGATGCTTGCTACTTCAGATGTAAATAAAATTACTTTGATTTGGTGTGTTTCGTATATTCTAAAGACCATTGCAACTGCCTTTTTTTGTGAATAAATTTCTCTCAGCTATTATTCCATATTACTTTTTACCGCTTGATTATACACCCAGCGACCTTTTTAAGGAACTCGCTGGGTTCTTCACTTAAGAGTTCTTGTATGCCTCTGGTACAATAGGTTACCTACGGTGGACCTGTGCTTTTTGGCTTTTTTTTTTTTTTTTTTTTTTTTAACATTTAGGCCAATTAAGACAAAATCATAAACACAGTACATACCTAAAATTCGAATCCAAAACTTCTTAATTAATAGTCAAAACTTTCAATAAATAAATGAGAGAGAGAGAGAGAGCTGCGTGGACCTTTTTTCTTAGCACTTCAGTTTCTTTACTGTGAAATTTGCATAAAATAAAAGTTCCTTTATCGTTGTAGCTAAAAGGCAGTATCTGCTCTGTTGGATTTCCCATCCAAATCTCCTAACAGATCTTCATAAGAATTGAACTATAATGATATATATATACAATTAAAAAGCTAAAATGTATTGATAGAAATATATTCCTCCTCATCCAATTATACCATAAATCTTTCTTTAAAATAATCCAATAAACAAGTTTTATACTTTCATTAGTGTTGATTAGAAGGGGGTTATGCTGTCTAATTTTTCCCAGATTTTTAGACAGGGAAATAGATTTTCATTAGATAGTTTGAAACTTCCTTGCAAAGCTTCTCGAAAATGAAAATTTAAACAAATTTGAAAGAATCTCCTTTGTAATTGAAAAAGCCTAGGTCCAAAAGTTGGATGTGGCTAGAAGGGTGAAGCAAATTAATTAGAGAAGGCCAAACCATGGGTTGAGAAGAGCCATTCAAATGAGAGAGCATGAAACTTTTGTATTAAATTTATTATTATTATTTTAATTCTTATTTCTCATTCTTTTAATCATTTTTTTTAATAATAATTACTTAAATTATAATCATTTTCTCTCATTTTCTATCTTTCATAGTAAATGAGTTGTCTCATGAGCTTGTTTAAACTTGTACAATAAAGCTTGAGCTCGAGTTCGAATTTGATTAATTAATTAAGCTTAAATTAGAGATGTCTTAAGCTAAATTAAATTCGTTTATAACCCTAATAATTTATATTGATTCTTGATATAATTTTAGTTCAGCACACTTGTGACATCATTATATATGATTTGTTAATTTTGATATACCTATGAAAAAAAATTCTCACCTTGAACGCATGACTTTTCTAGACCGATGAAATTCAAATAAAATTGTTGTATTTTTCCATATACTTTTATATTGACTGACTTAGCTCAACAATTATGTCTATAATAAATTTTCTTAACCTAAAATTAAATGACTGTTTAATATTGATAAGACTTTTGTAATTGTATACTCAAAAAATCTCTCACAACTTTAACATATGACTCATTGGTTTGACTACCTCATAATTAACACAATCTTAAAAATCACTGTTGTTCTTAAATATTGACTCTAAAATATTTATTTTCCAATCATCAGACATCCTATTAACATTTAATATTTAACAAACAAATAGCAAAATATATCATAACTCACCAAATCTATATGGGTATCTCATCATTATTTTTATCTTTAGATATCCTTTTAGAAACTAAAATTTTATTTTAGACAACTTTCTTTTTTACAATAAATTCTTAGCATAAATTTATTGAAGTCAGCAAAAAATAGTGATAAAAAACTATCCTAAATGAAATTTTAGATTCAAAAAGAAAAGAAAATAATTATATACAAGCTAGTGTCCAATATCTGTTAATGCAAGAGATTATACAGTAAGTCAGTAACTGCAATAGTTGGCTTCTCTCTAGTTGTGTAAGCACTTAGTCCTGAGTAGTAAAAGGTGCTTCAGGTTTTGTTTGAAGATCGTTCCTAGTTAAATCAGATTCAATGAATAATTATTCTAAAATGAAATCAACAAAGCTTTTTCCATATCTGAAGAAATGTCAGAATAGTAAAAAGTGATCCATGTATTGATTGCTCATTTTAAAGTTAGGTTAAGCTTTCTTGGATTAGAAGTGGTAGAAAAATTAAGCGAAAAAAGTGATTTTTCTTTGCTAGGGTTTTCCTCCTCTCTAGCCGCAGGGTTGCACCCTCCCCTCACCCTTCCTCTTCTTCCGGCTTTTGCCGGAGGACTCCATCTCCCTCCCATGGATGCTTCTACCTTCGCCATGGACTTTCCCCCTCTCTCTACCTTGGTGGGCGGAGGTAACCCTTCTCCTCACAACTAGAAGAATATTGTGGTTTCTTCGGACACTATCTCCAAAGTTCTTTCTTTATCACTCTATCCTTCTGAGCTTGAGATTATTCCCTTCTCGGGAGACAACCTCTCTAAAGGAGCTCAAGAATGGGACATGTGTTTGGTTGGCTACTCCCTCGGCCATAGGCCTTTTTATGAAGCATTACATGCAACTATCAGGAAAACTTGGTCACTCAAATGATCGCTCCAACTCCTTACCCTTAGAGATGCTTTTTTCCTATTTTACTTCTCTTCAATTGAAGATTATAAATCGGCATGGTCTAGAGGAGTATGATTTTTTCTTGGAAATCATTCATCATCCAAAAATGGTCTCCCCGCTTCCGCCCAAACCATGAGAACTTCTCATTTGTCCTGATCTCGGTAAAAATCCATGGTCTGCCTCTTGTCTGTTGGAATTTAGAAAGCATTTCCAGGATCACGAGTAATATAGGGGTTCCCCTTGATGTGGACTCCCTCACTACCCAGAAGACCCGCCTCACTTTTGTACGTGTGTGTCCAATTTTCCATCTCTGCTACGTATCCTGATGAAATTTAGATTTCATTAGATGGGGATGTATTTAATTTGAAGGTCCATTATGAGTGGAGACCCACTCATTGTGAGTTCTATCACTCCTTAACTCACGTCTCCTTTTGCCCGTCCAAGCCAAGTCCCCCACCAAACACTACCAACAATCCTATTGTAGATATATATGCGGCTGCCACGCAAGGAAGGAGCACTAGTAGAAAGCCCACCAATTGATACTTTTCTGTATCCCCTCATGTCAATCGTCCCTGCAATTGGGCCAACCACATGACTCACCCTTTCACTTATGTGTGCTTGCCCAACCTATTCCTACTCCTAAACTCCACCTACCACCTTCGTCTACTACCCAGACTCAAATGCCCAACACCGCTCAATCCATCAAGGACCCTCACCCCCACCCCCTTCCAATGAGTTCGACATCCCTACCCATAATTCCCCTATGGATTATTGCTTGGCATCTAACCCTATGACCCTCCCTGGCTTTGATCCTCAACCAGGGATGCTTTCTCTTAGTAGATTTGACATCCTTGAACAACAAGTGGATGAGCAACAAGTGATAAATTCTACTAAAGTTTCTTCTTCTTCTGCCAAGGGTCTGGTGTTAATCAATCATCATCAATCCCTTCAGAGTTTACTAAAGCTTCTAGGGGGAAGCATGGCAGAAAGTCCCCACACCCACTAAAATCATGATGTCCCTCCTTCCATTGCGTGCTGAAATGTTCATGGATTTAATAGTCTGGAGAAGGTTTTCAAATGCAAAAGTCTTATGAAGTCTTTTAATTTGGATATAATTTGCATTTTGGAGGTCATGATACACTCCAACTCTCTTCATGACCCTTTTTTTACCTCTAACCACTCTGTCATCGATAATAAAGATAACTGCAATAATTTTGATCTTTCTAAATTATGTTGCATTTGAATGAAGTGGAATTTAACTAGTTTGAACCTTACACCATCCCTCGTTTCTACTTAGGTCATCTCTGGTATGGTGTAATATAGAAACAACACCCCTTTTTTTACTTTTTGTTATCTATGCCTCCAACAATGGGGAGGAGAGAATCATAATCTAAAATCAAATAAAGAATAATGTGCCTCCTCAACGCACCCCATGGATCTTAATGGAAGATTTTAATTGGAGTAGATTTGCTTTGTGTTGCAAACTATTTTCATGGCTTATGTTTTGATGATTGACAAACACTATCTCTCTTGGACTACTTGTTGCTTCTAACTTTTCAGGAATCGAAGATCGGACGATCAAGAGGAAGCCAAGTCCAGGATCGCGTAGGTTTAGGGTTGAGTCAGTCTGTAATTTTATTTTTCATCTTTTGAGTCTACTTGTAATAATCAAAAAGACTGATGCTAAGTAACCCTTCACACACACACTTGAGAGGCTTAGAAATTCTGTTTTTGCCCACATCGGCCCGGCCGATATTTATATCGTCCGGGACGATCGGCTTAAAACAGAAAGTCTAAATTAAGGATTCTTTATTAAGGCAGCCGACATTAACTATCGGCCTGGACGATACGTGTATCGGCCAGGACGATAAGCTCAAAATAGAAAGAGATAGCCGCCTTAGACAGTTTAGGCATACTGAATTTTAAATTATCGGCCAGAACGATTCCAGGATCGGCCTGGACGAAATTACCAAATTATGCCTTAATTGATCAGGAAATCA